AACCCTCTGGGGGTTTGTCCACTCACTAAGGTACCCCCTCTAATCACCAGAATGGAGGTGCACAGACAGCAAGAGGCCAATGAACAGACACACACACAAAAGAAGGAATATCCACACCTTTATCTCCAAGGTTTTGTCAGACATTAATCCGTGGAGGCTCTGATCCTTCCCCCACTTGGTTTCACTGCTTGGTCTCACCCAAGATGGTGGCTCTGGGCCACTTAGCCCAGCGGGTTAGAAAGCATGAGATTTCTTGCTTCCACTACAAATTCCACTGGCTATAAGCCTTCAAACTTTAAAAAAATATTCCTATATATGTGGTTCAGAGTTTTGGAACTGTCCCCTGAACCTGCTTCATCTGGTATTCTGTGTTATTGCTAATGGAGATCCTCACTGCACTTTTACCCTATCCCCCAGCAAGTCCCCCTTCTTTCTTTAAGTGCCTTTGAGTCAGTTCTTTCCAACTCAAAGCAACCATGTATAGGGTTTCCGAGTAGCTAGCTGCTGGTTTGAACTGCCAAGCTTGCAGTTAGCAATCCAGTGTTTATCCTATAGCGTCACATCACTAATCCCTCTAAATTTCACCCTCTAAGTATCTCTGTAATTCATACACTCTCTTCATCTCTATTACCCAGTCCAGATCCACTGCAAGTTCTAATTGGTATCCCTGCATCCATTCTGAGCTTGCCCAACCTATTCCACACTGCAGCTAGAAAAATGTTTTAAAAATATAACTCAGATCATGTTACTTCCCTCAAAAATCCTTCAGTGGTTTTCTATTGCTCTTAGAATAAAGTCTAAAATCTCAACTATGACCAACCTCATTTTCAGCTACTCTCTCTTGTTCTCTAAGCTTCATTGACCTTTTAGTTTCTCATACTCTCTTCCTCTTACATATGCATGCTCTTCACTCTAAAGGTCCCATCTAGTTAACTTCTACTTAAGCTTCAGATCTCAGTTTAAATGTTACTTCCTCAGAAAGACCTTTCATGGCTCTCTAAAATGTGACACTTCTGATGACATATCAAAATGTCTTCTCTAACACCAGCTGCAAATGCAGTTCTTCTGATCCAAATCACCCCAAACTCAGTCAGATCTTACAAGTTAAAGAGCATAATCCTTCAGACTGTTAAGTCTACCCAAGACATCAGTCACTAGATGCAAGTTCAAAAGTCCTACGGACACCTTTACTTCTAACTTGATAGCTACAAATTTGAGGTTCTCACTATACCCTCACTGGACACCAGCTGTGAAGTTAGGGGTCACTAGGATACCCTAAGCGTCACTAGGACATAGAACAAGGGAACACTGAATGGTTTAAAATTAGGAAAGGTGTGCACCAGGGTTGTATTCTTTCACCATACTTATTCAATCTGTATGCTGAACAAAATAATCAAGAGAAGCTGAATTATATGAAGAAAAATGTGGAATCAGGATTGAAGGAAGGCTCAGTGACAACTTGGGATATGTACGTGATACAACCTTGCTTGCTGAAAGCCAAGAGGACTTAAAATACTTATTGATGAATATCAAAGACCACAGTCTTTGGTATGGGTTGCACCTTAATGTGAAGAAAACAAAAATCATCACAACTGGACCAATAAATAACAGCAAGATAAATGGAGAAAAGATTGAAGTTGTCAAAGACTTCATTTTGCTTGGATCAACCATCAACACTCTCGGAAGCAGCAGTCAAGAAATCAAATGATGTGTTGCATTGGGCAAATCTGCTGCACAGACCTTTACAAAGTGTTCGAGAGCAAAGATGTCAGTCTGAGGACTAAGGTGCACCTGATGCAAGCCATGGTATTTTCAATAACCTCCTATGCATGTGAAAGTTGGACAGTGAATAAGGAACACCATAGAATAATTGATGCATTTGAATTGTGGTGTTGGAGGAGAATATTGAAAGTACCATGGACTGCCAAAAGAACAAACAGATCGGTGATGGAAGAAGTACAGCCAAAGTGGTTCTTGGAAGCCAGGATGGCCAAACTTCATCTCTCATACTTCAGACATATTGATAGGAGGGACCAGTCACTGGAGAAGGATATCATGTCTGGTAAAGTGGAGGGACAGAGAAAAAGAGGAAGACCCCCAGCGAGATGGATTGGCACAGTGGCAGCATCAATGGGCTCCAACATAGCAATGATTGTGAGGTTGGCCCAGTACTGGGCAGTGTTTCGTTCTGTAATGAAAAGGGTTGCTATGAGTCAGTACCAACTCGATGGCACCTAACAGCAACAACAATGAATCCTGGTGGAGTTCTGGTGTGGCATTGTGGGTTAATATGCCAGACTGCAAAGCCATTTGAACTGCAAGTCTGGCGGTTCAAGCTCACTGGCTGCTCCTAGAAAACCCTATACAGGGTCGCTATGAGTTGGAATTGACTTGACAGCACTTAACAACAACAACAATGAATCAGAATTGACTGATTGCAGAGTGTTAGTTGATAGGTTGGTTATATATAATTTTATATTACTTCCTGAATATAGTTTTAAAATATTATTCATGTTCTGTCTCTTTCCTAAATAGTTATCTCAATCCTTATGAATTAGGAATTAGTTGAAGACAAGAGACAGTGACTATTTCATTTTTGGACAGCCATAAACATCTTTCATGATCATTTGTTTAGTTAAACAATGATACTAATGAATCTATATATGCAAAGGGCACTCATATGATAATAATGAGTGGGTGAATTGAATGAACAGTATAGCTAATTAGTATAAACTTTAAATAGGCAATAGTATGTCAATCACATAATTAACCATCTGCTATTTTTTATTAGATCTATTCAAGGGGATAATTGAGATAGGATATGTATAAAAACTTTAAAATTAGAGAATTGTAAGTCAGGGTTCTTGTTATTGAAATACATAGATATCAGATTACTTTAAAGCCTAGAGAAAATGAAAGACATATGCCAATTTCATGGCATAGTAACTTCAGAAGTACATAAGCACTACAATCTTGTTCACAGACAACAACTCATTCTCTTAGGAATATGTCTAAGTGCTGTCAAGTCAGTTCCAACCCTGTATAGGATTCCTAAGGAGCAGCTAGTAAGTGAACGGCTGATGTTTCGTTCAAAAGACCTACAACGTTGTGGTCTAGTGCTTATCCTACAGTGCCACACCATGAGGAGAGGAACATAATATGTCATAAAGAGAGCGCAGCCGCAGCCTGTTATTCTGTCTCTGCAGTCTGTCCCAAAGTCTAATGTAGGAGGGAAGTTAATTACTGACCACATTTTCTTTTAAAATCCTTTCCTCCTTTGCATCACAAATCTCTCGTAGTTCTTCTTTTCTCTGCATGTTTGACTGCTTTATCCCAATCTTTCTGTGGATTTCTTTTCTTTCACCCATCCTATGGAGTCCTGGTGTGGCACTGTAGGATAAGCACTTGACCATAAGTGCTGATGACTCATAAATCTACATTTCTAGTTCATTCCTTTCTCCTCGTGAGGCCACCCAATCAACTATTATCACATAATTCTTAGCAAATACTTCCAATACCACATGGCCAAAACCCAAACTCACTACCTTCTCTATGAAATCTACTAATTGTATCACCATTTACTGAGTTACTCAAATTAGAAATTTGGGGAATATTCTAGATTCTGTTTTCTTCTTCAACTCATAAATTCTAATCAGTTACAAGGTCAGAAAAGATGTAAATTTATAATGGCTACAAATATAAATGTGAATAAATTCTTCTGTAGTATAAGAAATTATTAAGTACATTGAAAAATGTAATTTACTAAATTACAAGTGAAGGTATACATTAAGATTAATCAGGATTTAGAATTGATAAAAATCATTTTTATTACCTTTCCCAGTTGTAGAGATTAATATTGATCTGGATTGCTTGATAAACAAGGCCCGCCTGAAGAAGTACTATCTCAGCCTCCTGTATGTTCCCACTAAACATTAGCATGTGGGCCATTTTTGATTCTTTAGATGGAAGATTTTTTATAGAATTAATGTACTGAACCTTATCAATCTAAATAAAGAAAAGAAAAAATATTTGAATGGATAAGAACAAAAATGAAATTAATTATAGTAAGAAATACAAATACACATATACATATTAAACATTATTGACTTACTTCACCAATTGCTGCGTAGGCTATTTCTGCAGTAGCCATATCTCTGTTAGCAACTGACATAGCAGCCAGGCAAGCCCACAAGGTTTGTTCCTAAGATTAAACAGGAGAACAATGATCCCAACTATCAGGCCACACTGCCTTAAAATAAACCATGATTTAAATACCCATAATATAATTGCAAAGAAACCTCTGCTCTTAAGTTAAACACTTGGCTGCTACGGCTGGAGATTTGAACCCAACCAGTTGTTCCCTAAGAGAGAGGCATAACAACCTGCTCCTATGAAAATGACAGCCTAGAAAGTTCTACTCTGTCACATGGGTTAGCTTGGAGTTGAAATGGACTCAATGCCACCTAACAACAAAATTATATCTTAATTTTTAAAAATTACTGAGCATGGCACTGAAAAAAATGTATAGTAGTTAAACTAGTGATAAGGAAAACTCACTGTGGCCACTTTGGTACAATATTTTAACACAGAGAAAACTTATTTTGAAGAAAATTTTCATATCTAATTATCAAAGTCAACTTTTGAACTCAAAAAACAACTCATGGCAACAAACTCTCCAGTCTTTTTGAAAAGGTGTCAAAGAATATAACTTACAAAATCTCAGGGAGAATAAAAAAATATATATATCAGGGACATAATAAGGCTCTCTGACAGTAATATTGCACATTGCCACCTATAATCCAGTTAAAGAAAGAGCATCTAAAAGTCATCTCACAAAGGCTTATTCTAAAGGATGTTCAATTAAAGAATTCTGTGGTCAGACATGCTGAAAAACACTAGGCTCAATTAAGTTAGGAAACGCTCATCTAAAGCAGAGGTTTTTAACTGTAGCTGTGCAAAAGAATTATCTGAGAAACTTAAAAAAATATGCCTAGGCCTCACCCCAGATTTTTATAATCTCTGGGGGACCTGACTTTATAAGAGCTCCACAGAGGATTTTTATATGGGCCAGTAAGGAGGAACTGTTGTTGTATTATATAACGTGGAATTCTGACTCATAGCAAGAGTGTTGTTGTTGTTGAGTGCCACTGAGTCAGTTCTGGCCCATGGCTACCCTGTATAGGGATTCCAAATTTGAACCGCCAACCTTGTGGCTCAAACCAACTTTGCAGTCCAGCACATTAACCTAAACTGCCATACCAGGGTTCCTTAACAAAAGGAGAACTTCCCTATAGGGTTTCCTAGGCTGCAACCTTTACAGACCCACATGTGTGAAAGTTTGTCATTCTGTGGTGGCTTGAGTGTTACTGTGATGCTGGAGACTATGCCACTGGCATTTCAAATACCAGCAGAGTCACACATGGTGGATAGATTTCAGCAGAGCTGACTTTGTCAAGGATTCCATTCTACTTGGATCTGTAATATACACTCATGGACACACCAGTCAAGAAATCAGATGACACACTGCATTGGTAAATACTGCAAAAGACCTCTTTAAAGTGCTTAAGAGCAAATATGTCACTTTGAAGACTAAGGTATGCATGACCTAAGCCATAGTATTTTCAATCATCTCCTCTACAATTGAAAGCTAGACAATAAATAAGGAAGGTAGGAGAAAAATTGGTGCCTTTGAATTCTGGTGCTGGCCAAGAATATTGAAAGTACCATGGACTGCCAGTAGAACAAGTCTATCTTGGAAGAAGTATAACCAGAATGCTCCTAGAAAGTAAAAAGAGTGACTTTGTCCCATGTACTTTGGACATGAGAAAAAAGGAGGGACCAGTCAGTCCCTGGAGAAGGACATTGTGCATGGTAAAGTGAAGGGAAGGTCAGTAAAAAAAAAAAAAAGAAGAACCCCAATGAGATTTATTGACACAGTGGCTGCAATAATGGGCTCAAATATAAGAATTAT